CTTGTGGTGGCTACTGCCCCACACATATTTTCCTCCCACTTTCATCCTACTTGTGCATTCCATGTATGCATTCTTTCATTTGCATTTTTCCTTTGTTCTTTCTTCTTCTTCTTTTGTCTTCCTTCCCTTAGGATTTATAATCTCTCTTGTTAAAGAGAGGTTATGATAGACATTAGGGTTCTAACCATGCATGATAACATTAGGAAGATGTCTCCCTTTTGTAATCCCAAATTTAGGTGCACTTTGCATTACAACTTCTAGGGTTTGGTCTAGTCCCCCTTTAGTTTATCCCTTTCTCTTCTCATCTTCAAACAACTTCAATCCACTTAATAAATAATGATAAGTGTTGTATGCTATGAGCCTTAAGCTACTTGGGGAATGGTGATTGAGTGGTTACCTCTCAATTACCTAGAGTGTTTAGTATACATCCTTAGGATGCTATGCGATGCATTCGTTCCTAAGTCACAAAACTTTAGTGCAACATGAGTTACTAACAAAAAACTCAAAAATATTTCTTCTTTAAAAGACTTTAAACCAACTTCAAACTCTTTTTGTCCCTTGGGACCCTTTACCTTTGGAAAACCTTTTCATAAACAAGAGTGTCGTTAACATTCGGTTCTATCGCAAACGGTAACGCCTAAGTCTCCAATGGTCGAGCTGCATACACCAAACTGCTAGAACTGTTTGTTAACCCTACTCGGGTAAAATGTTTGAACAACCGGTGTTCTCATTAGCCCGAACTACGTTTTCTCTAATTTCTCGTACTAGACGAGGATATGTAGGCATAAGACGCGATGTCTTAGTGAGCAACCTCTCCCCCTTTTTCGCCCGTAGTTGGTCGAACTACGTTGACTCTGACTTTCCCATTGCACGAGGGAGTACGTAGGCATAGAGCAGCGGTGATCTATCACGTCAGTACTTTTTATTTTTCTTTTGTTCATAAGCCTTTAGCGTAGATAGTTTACAAACCCTTTTAGAAAACACATGCGTGGATCCCGTCGAGTACGATGGACGTGAGGGGTGCTCATACCTTCCTCTTGCGTAACCGACTCCCGAATCTAGGACTTGGTTGCGACGACCTCGTCTTTTCCCATTTTCGTCAGGTTTTTTCCGATCGTTTCCTTTCCCCTCTTTGGGATAAATAACGATAGGTGGCAACTCTGTTAGTCATTGTCAGCCTCTTTTTTTCGCAGTAGCAACAGTTACCACATTCAAAAAATGTCCCATTTGGCACCAAATGGGGGGAATCCTGTATAATCACATGTTGCCACCTATTCTAAGCTCCATTAAGCCTCTAAAACTTGCCCTTGGATATTATAACTGCGAGAATGCCTGAGATAGCCTGTACACCGTCTCCTGAGCTGAAAATAACTTGCTGAATAAAATAAAATCGGCCGCTCGATCGCTGGGTAAAATAAATGTCGGAGCCTCTGACGCTCGCTGTTTAAACTCTTGCAATAAAAGGGAATCCTGAGCCATGAAAACCCTTTGATCCCATGCCTCAAGAACCAATGCTATGATATGCAGAAATGCAAAATACAAAGAAACATAAGCCAGTTACGGTTAAAACGTAAGGGGAAATTGTGGGGTGCTACAGTACCTGGAACTATTTGTTAATCATGCAGGAAAAATGTCTTAAATCTATGAAAGAAAGTATATGATCTTGTTTGTGGAGCATCAAGGTACAACACGGTGAAAAATCCTTATTGTTTTGATCTATATGACTAACAAGGTGGATTGTGTTACCAATTAGTTTAACGTTTAGTGTTTATTTAATTGGTAAAAACATGTTGGTTACTACTTATGTTTTATCCAAGAAATTTTGGGATAAGTGTTTCTTTTCATAATATAGGCATATCTTTACAAGACATTCTCAAAGAAATTGAAAAAGGAATTGATCAACGCCTAAAGAGGTGGAACATGAGAAAGAAGAAGATAACAATTGTGAAAAGGCGAAGGTTGAAAGTCCAGCTGTAGTGAACTATCATCTTTTGACTTGGAAAATCTTCAATGATCATCAAATCAATAATCTTTTTGGATACATTATTAATCACACTTTCAAGTACATGTACAAGAAGAAAAGTGGTAAGAACGTTTCGGTCTTGATTGTGTTTTATGGCACGTGTTTCATTTATTTCAACTTTCATTTAAAAGTTCTTCGTGGAATACAAGTGCATCCTCTGTCATGTGTACGGTGAGGTATTATCGTTTCAATCCTTTTTCTTGTTACGTACGTAAGTATTTTTTTACCTGTTTATTTCTTAAAGGAATGTGATGAACTATGTGTGTGATATTATGATGTGTGTTTACTTCTAAAAATTTCAATGTGACTGTTATGTGTTGCATTCTACATATTAGTAACTATATTCAAATGTTGTCGCATTTTCATCTTTATATTGAACCAAATTCATGCTTGAATTTTACATGATTGCATGATTCTAGCAAACAAACCATAAAAATATATAATATGCACGTGTCTCTCATCAACTTATTGTTTATGAGCTATTATAAGTCTCTCAAAGTGACTAGAAGTCCATTTGTGTCTTGCTTATGAATTTTGATTTTGGTGTGTTGTATTTTCATTTTGCTATGGTTTGTTTGCTTGCTTTTGTATTGTATGAACAATAGTCTAAGAGGTTTATTGGTTGTACTATGTGTGTGACTTAAATAAATTTTATGTATGTTGTTGTGTTTTATTATGCTTTTGTTATTTACATATGATATGTATGTGAGCGCATAACTTATTCTTTGCAATTACTTATGTGTAGTATAACATATATGTGAATTTTGCATCTATGTGATACTTCTAACAAATTACTTATCTCTTTTTGATGTTGTCAAAGGGGGAGAATATTATGAAGAGGATAATGCACAAATTCAGGGGGAACTATTCAGTGTACCAAAGAAAAATGCAATGCCTATATGATTTTTGCCATCATCAAAAAGGGGGAGTATGTGAGTCTGAGTGCATTCTACAATCTAGACATGTTTTGAATGATGTCAAAACTAGGAGTGTGACTTAGCATTTTTGTATATTGGACGGTATCAATCAAAGTTTAGATGTGCATTAAATCATTTTAGCCTTAGGATGCATACAAATGGTTTTGAAAATGATTGGAAATGTCAAGGAATGTTTCATACATCAAAAAACTGTGTTTTATGTGTGAACACACTAGCACAGGCTGGCGTATATGATTTCAGGTTGACCTATAGAAGTTGTTACTTCAGTATAGGCTAGTCTATACGATTTCAGGCTGGCTTATAGAAGTTGTTACTTTAATATAGGCTGACCTATACGATTTCAGGCTGACCTATAGAAGTTGTTGCTTCAGTACATGCTGGCATATGCAAATTTCAGGTCGACTTGTACGCTGCAATATTAAAGCTTATTTGCTATAGGCTGACCTGAAGACCTTGACAGGCCGATCTATTGCTTTTATAGGCCGACCGATATTTTTTCAAAACTGAAAATTTTTGTTTTACATTCTATTTTTCTTGCATCTTTTTTTCCTAATTCCATATACACATATACATACCCATACATGCACCTTTTTCTAGCAAGGTACTAGTGAATTACCTAAACGAAACTAAATTACAAAACATTCCCATCATCTTCATCCTTTCTTCTATGCATATACACAATTGAACTAAACATATTCATTTTCCAATTGGATGACCATATAGATTAGGGTTGATAACGTCCAATTAGATTTGGTGTAACCGAGAATATTGGGTTGGGATCTTTGTGTTTTTCAAATAAGAAAACTAGTGTGAGGTTTTCCTTCAAGATCGGTGTGATTTGAAGGTTTTGGATAAGATCACGTCAACACAGATTCGACCGAGTGAAGGCTTGGGACAAAGTGGTTTCCTTGCAAGATAGTAGCGTGAGACGGTGAATCGTGTTAGGGAATCTTGGGTTGAACAAGTGTGTGCTTGGGATAATCGGAGGATTATAGATGCATTGTTGGTGACTTGAGCAAACTTTGATCAAGGGTTTGGAGGTGGTTGAATCTACAACAAATAATAGGGTTTGTGGGGTTAGAATTCTTCACCTCTTGTATAAACATTTTTGCAAAGATAAGTTTGATTGATTTGTGACTTGATCATTTTTAAATGATTTGCATTTATTATCATTTCATAAAGTTTGCATTGCGCATATAATTTTTCGATAGTAAATTTGGTTAGACGATTCGATTCAGGTTGTTTTTTCGTTATGCCATACTTTTTAAAAAATAAATTTTTGTCAAGAACTTTTAATTTTAAATTTGTGATATATTCACCCCTTTTAGATAAAAGCATGTCATATATTAAAGTTGATGTCATAATAATAAATGAAGGCATAAATTCAGAAAATTTAAAAATAAAAGATTACCGATCTCAAAGAAAAGGAAAAAGTGACTGTCAAAGCCATACACACTAAAATTGAAATCAAAGTGTAATAAGACTTTATAAAGACCAAAGAAGTCAACAAAATGTATATATGAATCTTGTAAAAAGAGTAAGAATGTTTGATTTGTACACATTCATTTATCTAATAAATTAGGAAAAATATAAATAAGTCTAAATACACGCATTCCTTTTATTATAAATATACATACCATATCAAGATTAAGCCTGTTCAATTCACTTTTCTTTTTATAAGCCTACTCAATTCACTCAATTTGATAGAAAAATATAAGTTTTGTTATTTTTACCTCAAGTCAAGTCAACAAAAATCTTCTTAAAACAGCCATTGATGGAATAGGAAACTAGATGGCCAAGTACATTTTATCTTTAATTGCCAAATAAAATCATTACATAAAAAAATTTAATACAAAATAAATAGAAATAGCAAGAATTTATGGTATTTTGAATTTGACAATAACCCATTACATTATTTATCTTAAAAAAACAGCATCCTTACATATCAATAACAAAACAAGTAAAAGAAATAAAGACAAATTGAGTTGATGAACTATGATCTTTGACAGTAGCAGCACCATGAATGAACTACGAGAAGACTATTCATCATCTGGCCCCTTAGGGAATGCGCCTGCAGTAAATGGAGACGGAGGTTCGGGACTTAAAATCTCATTATGTAGATATGGTTCGAAAGGGTAATCAGGCGACGAAGGCGAAGAGAAAATGCTTGGTGACAGGAGAGGCCTATAAGGTGACTGAGGAGATAGGACATTCACATTTTGTGTTGGTGAAGCCAACACGTATTCAGAAGTTGGTGACACAGAGTAGTTTGTTTGTGACTGAGGAAAATTATTCAGAAATTGATTGTCATTGTTCATAGGAAAAGTTTGGTTGCTAGCAACATTCATAGACACGGAAGGATTAGGATTCGGAATAGTTTGGTTACTAGCTGATGATAGGTTATAATGTTCAACATTGTTAACCATTTGAGTTTGAGTCGGAAAATACTGTGGCTGGAATTGAACATTAAGATTAACATTATTGCTCATCTGTTGTTGCGGAGGAGGAGGGTATGACTGGAATTGATTACCTCTTGAAGCACCGCCACCACCACCGAAGTAGTTCTCCGAGTCTTGAAACTGTCTCATGAAAGCTGAGATCGGTGACTCGACAAAATTATTCCATGAATTATCGAAAACCTGAGGACCACTAATTGGCTGCAAAGGAGGGACAGCCAGTCCGTTAATGTAAGGCACTGCCCGGGGAGGTGGTGGTTGCATCGGAAACTGAACAAGTGGCCGCACATTGGCCAACGGAGGAGGCCTGCTTTGCTGCAACCTAGTAGGCCCGTTTGAGTCTCTTCCAGTTGTCCTCATAACAAAACTCTTGAAGTCATCTCTGTGAATGTGATGAATTTTCTGCTGCGGGTAATGATGTCTTCCGCTGCCGAAATCGATTGTCTGCTGGGATGAATTCTTTTTGATTGTCTTCCCAATATTGTTTACACCCATATTCTCATTATGCCTGTTTCTCGAATTTTCCATTTTTGTAACGCGAAAAAATACAGTCAAGATTCTTCACTACTTTACAAATATTTAAGAATTATACCAAAACAAAAACACAAAAATCAAGTAAGCAAAAACACTAACAATTACACAAATTTCTCAAATTATTATAAAAACTCAACCCGGAATTCAAAATCTATAGTTATGAATATGGTGGTTGATGAATAACAATAAGTACCCATAAGAACAATTGAGGAAAAAAGGTTGAAATTTGTCTCAAGGGTCTTAAGGGTATAGAACAAACTGGAAGTGAAATATGAATGAAGAAGAAAACCCTATCACACTTATATAGTGCTTTTTTGCTGAGTCAGCAAACCGTGGGAAATGAATTACCAGGGTTTCGATTTTGCCAAGGTTTTCAAATGGAATGGAAAACGTGAGCACATTATTATTATTATTATTATTATTGTTTTAGGATGAGTTTTTCTATTTGATATAGTTAGATAAATATTGTCTGTTAAAATACTATACAATATTATCTTATATATAGTGAAAATAGTTTGGTTAAAGTTTATCACTTCTATATTAATATATTATTAATTGAGTCAAAAATATATTACTATATAAATATTTTTCATACTTTTTAAGTGTATTTTAGTGTTTTCTTTGTTTTTTAGTTTTATTTTCTAAATAAATTGTTTGACTAAATTTGTTGATTTACCATCTATTAAGTTCTAGTATGTGAATATTTTGAATAAGAAAGGGGTAGTGGTTGGATTTGGTTTAATGAATAAAGTATAATGCAATTGTGAAATATTTACTACATTCTATTAAAATGTTGTTAAATATTTTAAAGTATTTTTAAGGTATGGTTCATGAATTGATAAAAATAACATAAAAATAAAAAATGTAATGAAAAATGTTGAAATATTTTAAAATACCACATATGTGATGGTTAATGCTCATATTTTATTCCTAATATTCATCATGAATTGAGAAATATAAAATTAAAGTTAAATATAGCCTGATAATTTTTGGACAGAAATACATCAGAATGTTTCCCAGTGATATTTTATGAATTAATATAAAACTAAACATTCTTTATTTATTTATTTTTACAGTTTTCTAGAATGTCCTTCGTTTTTCTTTTTTGTCATTTACAAAGTATAAATTGAAATAAATGTGATAAAAATAATGGAAAAGAATAAAAAGTAATGAAATATTGATGATTCTTTGTTTTCTTTTAAAATTTAAATGGAAATTTCTTTTAAAATTTAAATGGAAAATGGTATTTTTAATCCACACATAAACTAAAAAAGAGATAAATACTACAATTATATAAAACAGTTATCCTAATGGCATATTTCAAATTTATCCATTTTCTGTCTTTGTTTTTTAATTTATTTAAAATGTACTCGTATTGTAAAAGGATTTTATACAGATAATCATATATGGGGATAATCATATATGTTGGATGAAGTAATATAAATTAATAACGATGATAAATTAACAGTGTAAAATTTTTTATACTATTAATGCATAGTAATTATTTTTTTTTATTAATATTTTATAACTTATATTAAAAAATTATCAGAAATGAAAATAAGAATGTTTGGCGCTGCAGCGAGTCAGATAAAAATCAAATAGATAGATAGAAATGAGCCTTTTTTTAGTTAAAAGAAAAATACTATTTCGTGTTTTATTTTAATTTAATTTAATAATTTATAGTATTTTGCTTAATATATTTTTTTCTATTTAAGTTTTCTTTGAAGTGTTTTGGGGTCTTTATATTACATGAACATATTTAGTCAACAAAAATTTATATCAACATATTAAGTAATATTAAGTTAAGGTTGAGGTAAATTTAGTTTAAAAATAATGTATTTATTATTTTTCTTTTATTAGATTCAATATTTTTAGTTGTATTAAAGTGTGTTATATTGAATGAAATTATTTGACTCAAAGTTTATTAGAGAAATTTAATATCTAGTTAGATTTTTTCTTTCAACAATCTTTTTTCCACCTACAAGGCTCAATTATCATATATAAATGGCAAGTAAGTATAAAAGATTACTTATAGATTGTCATGTGATTAGAAATGTTAAGGTTAAATTATAGTTTTGGTTACTCTATTATACTCTATTCTCAAAACTAACCATGTCATTTTGTTTTTAAAAAAGTTTAGTCCTACATCCTCAATTTTAGTATAAAAAAATATTGATGTTTAATTTTTTTTATATATGTGATGCTTTTTTTATGATATGGCATGAAACATATGGATTTTTTTGTAAACTAAGTCATTTTATAAATAAATAATTAATTAATATTTTGTTTTAAAAATTCCTATGGAATTTAATCAATTAATTAATTTAAAAAAAAATATGTTTATTGGGTTAAGGGCCATCTCTAAAAAAAATATATGGCATGAAATATATATATATATATATATATATATATATATATATATATATATATATATATATATATATATATATATATATATATATATATATATATATATATATATATATATATATATATATATATATATATATATATATATATATATATATATATATATATATATATATATATATATATATATATATATATATATATATATATATATATATATATATATATATATATATATATATATATATATATATATATATATATATATATATATATATATATATATATATATATATATATATATATATATATATATATATATATATATATATATATATATATATATATATATATATATATATATATATATATATATATATATATATATATATATATATATATATATATATATATATATATATATATATATATATATATATATATATATATATATATATATATTACACAATGTGAGATTTAGTTTATTCTATACATAATTTAGTTCGCACTTTGTCTGAGACTCTGTTAAAGAAGCATTTATCTGTACTTTTTTTTGCACTTTGTGTGGCCTTCACCTAGGCTTCGTTCAACCAATCGACACAAGGGGTGTTAACCCATTATAAGGGGAAACCATCAACAAGGAAAAACAACAAAGTCAACTGATCTGACCTGATCAGAAGGGAATCACTGGACCGCCACGTGTCTTGGGTTTGCTGCTTGTTCACTAGTGGTAAGAAAGAGGAGGGGGTGTATCTGCAAGACACTCTGATGCCAAAATGAGAGAGGACCAGAGTGGAAGTAAATACAGAAGAGAGGTTAAGAAGTGAATACTTGACCCTCTAGTGAAAGAGGGTATTTATAGTGAGACCCCAGCACAGGGCCAACGAACATTTGCGTTGGGCTGGACGACCAGGCCCAACCCAAGTGACTGCTAGGGCTTACGTGGCGTAGTGAAGACCAGGACGTGGTCTTCGCCCTAGGTCAACTGTCCCGTGATCTCCGGAAGGTGGGATGACCTGCTATTTCGGAGGTGGATAGTTGGATGATGACGTGTCCCCGCGGAGGGGGGCACGTGGAGAACGTGTGAGGCACACGTCTTTCTGCCGGACGGGGAAGACTCCTGCCCGACGGGAGAGGTGCTCTGCCTGGCGAGGGCAGTGTTTGGTCGACAGAGGACTTGTGCTCGACACATATGAGGAAGGCTCCTTTGGGCCTTTCCCCAAGTATAGGTGGACTGGGCCTTCCCGGTTAGGCCGGGGCCCAAGCCAGAACAGTTCATTTGCGTTGGGCTGGATGGCCAGGCCCAACCCAAGTGACTGTTAGGGCTTACGTGGCATAGTGAAGACCAGGACGTGGTCTTTGCCCTAGGTCATCTGTCCCGTGATCTCCAGAAGATGGGCTAACCTGCTCTTTCGGAGGTGGGTAGTTGGATGATGATGTGTCCCCGCAGAGGGGAGTACGTGGAGAACGTGTGGGAAGGTCTGAGGAGTCATCCTGGCAGACAGAGGTGGTTGGTCGGATGCAAGGGTCCTGCCCGACTAAGGAGGAGAGGGAGACTGGCTGGTTGGACGCGAGGGTCCTGCTCGACGGATGTGGGTCTGTCCGACTAAGAAGAGGACAAAGGATGGCTAGTTGGCAGTGAGGGTTCTGCCCAACTAAGGAGAGGACAAAAGCTGGCTGGTCGGCAGCGAGGATTCTGCCCGACTAAGGAGAGGACAAAGGTTGGCTGGTGGCAGCGAAGGTTCTTCCCAACAACGGGGAAGAAGGAGGTTGTCTGGCCAGATGTAGGGGCCTTGCCCAACAGCTGTTGGCATGCGTCCGACGGGGAGGAAGGTTGTGCCCGACAGGTCTTCTGCCCGTCAGCATGGTTCAGACGGGTCCAACCGCAGTGGGCTTTGGGCCTGCTAGGCAATGGGCTAAGCATCGGCCCAGTCCAGAACATCAACCAAACAAAAATTACAACCTAAGATACACTTTAGGATTTGAAAACCACACCTCCCTAAAAAACTCACGACTACCCTTAGACAAAATAGAAATCAAATCTCACCCAAGAACTTTAATGAAAAGCAAAATTTCAATAATATTTCAAATGTTGTTGTTGAACAACACCTTATTCCTACTATTTAAAACACACCAACAAACCAACCCCAACAAAAAAGAAAAAGAATAAGGTTTGACAATACCAACCAAGCTCGTCGAGAGAGGCTCAAAGAAACCCACCCTGGCGCCATCGCCCACCACACCATCTGCCTCTAAACCACCACCAAAATCCACACTTAACCAACCAAAAACCTCCTTCCAAAGAATCCTAAGTTTGGTACACCCAAGAAAAAGATGAACTATGTAACACCCCCTTTCTATACCCCCAAATAATACAATTAATCATTTAGGCACAAATTCAAAATTTCATCAGAGTAAGTTTATAAGGGACATGCCACATTATCTGAAAATCACACATATAAAACACCTGCTCATATATAATGATATGCAACAACGGGGTAACACCCACGAGAAAATATCTAGAACAAAGGCGGAACATCCAAATATTTCATAATTCTCTAACACATGTATTCATATATACAAATCATCAACCAACATGGTTACATAACTTTCATCAGCAGATA